TCAATGTATATAAATTTACATGATTTAAAGATTATTACTATGTTTTATAAGTCACCTTTGCTTTTTTGTTTGTGTTGGTGTGTGTCTGACAATGATCGTATTGTGGTACGTGAGCAGATGTGACAGGTTCTATAGCTACTTCTCATGCTGGAAGGTCTGGCTGAGGAAAGCATGGAGTCAAAATTTTGTGAAGATTATAATTTTATATTGTTACTCTAGGCCTAGATAGTGGGTCTAGACTATTTAGTTACAGTCTTCAGTAATGTAATTATTATCATTCAAAAACTTGTATTTGAACTCCTCGTAGAGCCATCTTTGTTTATGTATAGACATATTTATATAAATTATTGTGTTTTATGAAAATGTCTCAGAGCACTGTTATTTTGTTGATTAAGATACTGAAATAAAAAAAGAAAGAAATTTTATACTCTAATCTATGTGTATATTATTCTATAAGTAAATAATGGAAATTAGAAACAGTAAAGCATAATGACATTGACCTATTATAAAAATAGTTTGTGACACTAACCACCTCACGGACGTGGATGGGTATGCTTGTTAGGATAACATATATCAACTCTGCCCTCTTCACTGCCAAGGTGAAGGAGTGGATGATCGACATGAAGGAGCTGAGAATGAAAATGCTCCAAACTTTGGTTGCAGGAACAAGATGCCTTGTTGTAAGATTTTTGGGCTGCATCTTTGGTGTCGAACTCCCAATTTTCTCCTTCCTTGCAAATTGCTTGGAGAATGGGCTTATACTCCTTTTTTTTAGGTAGCTGAAAGTGGTAAAATCCAATTGGCCAACTGCCCTCTGTACTACTGGAATATTCATGATTCTCTGGATATTTGTGGGTGTGAAATCAATCTTTTTGCCCCTCACCATGCCGTGTCTGTGGGGAAGAGTGTCGCCCTTAACCCTCATGGCGTTTGCATAGACTTCTTAGGTGATTTCTTTCCACCCATTGCCAACACAAGTGGTGAAGAGGTCCCAACCTCTTCTCTGGATCTCTTCCTTGAATTGCAAATAAGTGTCATCTTGAATTTTAAAGTTGTGGTCCTGCACTAACTATCTTCGTAGGATGTTAGTCTTGAAATAGTTGTCATGGTCCAATGACCGGAATCAAGGGTCATGTGCAAGAAGGGTCTGGAGGAGGAGGCACCAGCTATCCTAGCCTTTTTTGGTCTTGGAGCATTCTTCCTTGGTGTGTTAGCCATTTTGTTGTTGCAAGGAGGAAGAGAAGAATAATGAGTTAAGTAGTCAGAAAAGTTATGCAACAATGGTGTATAACAGACAAAATAATGTTTAGACTGATGTGAAAAGGGCAAGCCAGAATATGTGCCGTAATGGAGTACAGTGTCAAAGTAACTACTCTATGGCTCAGACATGACAACATTAAGGTAGGAAAGTTGACACAAATAGTGATGCAGCAGCAAAATGAAAATAGGTGCAAAAATACAGAAAATGGGGAAATAAATACAGGATCTCAGATTTAGTGTAACAGTCCACTATGTATGCCACTACAGATTCAAGAAAGATCACTCAAACTATATGCAATGCAGTCCTAAAATGGTCGTTACTGACAGCAAGGATGATTACTTTCAATCTGCAAAATTTAAACAAAGATATGTATATGTGCAGTGGGAAATTGGAGTTGTGCAGCTAACATGAACATTATAATGAAGGATGTCCAGGCAGAATGCATGCAATTGGTGTGGAAATATAAAGCACAGGCAAGGATGACATCAAATTATAGAAGTAGCATGCAAATGGTGTGAGGCAATCTAAATAGCCACTTTTCTGTAAGGTAGCTGACACAGAAACAAAGTATGAATGTGTGAAAATGAAAGTGATTATGTTCATCCCAACAGCGAGATTTACAAAGTGGCATGATTAGGCACAGGACACTAGGAGAAACATCACACTTAGCAGTTTATGAATGCAATGCAGCTCTAAAGTGAACACTTTGTAAAATCAAAATTCACAGCCTTAAGGGATCATGTGTACACAGGGTAGTAACCACTATGGGTTTCGCACATGATGGGTTAAATCAAGGTGAAGCGCGGTACAATTTAACCATGGAAAGGTGAGTTTCAAGACAAGGTAACACCCATTTGCATCAAGTAAACTTAAAGTAAGCACTGTTGCAGTAAAATGCACAAAACAATTACTATCACATATGAGGATGGCTACCCTAGGGTTCGGTCTTGATAAGGTTCAGCAAATTAACCAATTTAAACACCCCCAATCCCCTTCAATCATGCAATCACACTTCAAATAACAGAATTTTCACAACAATTTCAATGCAGGAGGCCCTAAATCAAAATCCCTAATTTGTGCAGTAATAAACCCTAACACAGAGGGAGGAGAATTGAAAAATTACCTGGATTGGAGTTCAAAATTGATGCAAAAGTGCAGGAACGGATGGGTCTTAGCCCAGAACAGTGAAGATAAAAGGGAGAAATTTAGGGAGATTGGAGACGAGAGTGAGAGCGCTTAGAGGTTGTGTGATGAATCCATATTTTTACTAGCATTTTACTATAGTTTTAATCTATTTGATAAGGAAAATATGTTGGAAAAAGCAGAAAAACTCATAAAAATAGAATGATTGAAGGTTTTCTTTCAATACATAGTTATTTTAGCATTTGTATATTTTCTACATAGAAATTAAGAATTTTATCATGTTTTTGTAGGAAAATCTAAGCCAAGTGCATGAAAGATGGAAGATTAATGGAATGATAAAGGAAAAGTGGCAATTTTGGACTTAAAGAACAAGATTAATGGAATGAAAGCTAGGCGTGATCACTATTGTTAGTGAAAGTGATTGTTCCAGAGCATAAATGAGGAAAATAGTCTGGGTGTGGTCACTCTTATAAGCGAAAGTGAGTGTTCTAGAGAGTTTCTCAGAAGAACACAATGGGCGTTACCACTCTTGCTGGCGAAAGTGAGCGTTCCAGAGGACTTCAATCTCAGCAAACTTGTGCATGACCACTCTTGCTGGCGAAAGTGAGCGTTCCAGAAAGCTTCACCATAGCGAGTAGCGCGTGGTTACTCTTGCTGGTGAAAGTGGATGTTCCAAAGAGAAGTGTATCAAGGCAAGTTGCGTGTGGTCACTCCTGCTCATGAAAGTGAACATGTGCACTGCTCGACCTCTTGCGTTGTCACTTTTATCAACAAAAGTGATGGTTCCAGTCTTCCAGAAACTATATAAGCCTCTGCGTGGCTACTCTTATGAAGCAAAGTGATGACGCGCAGAGGCGGGAATTCTTATAAATACTAGAGCAAGCTCAGATTTTAGGATCTTTTTCTCATTTTTTGTTTTAACTTCATTTCTTCGTTCAGAGACAGTCAGAGAGAGGATTGGGGACGAACGTCGAGCTCCAAGAAGAGGAATCGGATTAGGGATCATTGAAGATGGCTCTTCTGTGTTCTTCTTCTCCACCTTCTTTCTCTTTCTTTGTTGTCATGTTTGCTTAATTCTTCGTAGTTAGGAGTTTATGGATCTTGAATTGATGTATTGGTTAGATTCTTGACTCTGAACTTTGAGTTCTTGGATTAATTGAGTGGTTAATTCTGTGGTTAACGTGATCTTTGAATAGAAATTCAATTGATTAATAAAAGAGAAACTTTTACCAATGGGAATTGGATTTGCTTCTCCGATCTGAATTAACTACCAGAATTAGGTGATTCTTAGGGATAAGTGAACTTAATTCTACAATCCTATGGTTCTAATTCTTAATGCAACTTGAAATTGAATCTCACCTAAGGGATTAGGGTGATTTAGTTGATCGTTAGGGTCAATGAGTTAAGGGATTAACCTTTGACTATTAATAAGTGAAACTGATTGTCAATTAACCAATTGCTTGAATGTTCAAAGGCATAGTTGAATTGATATTGATATTCTGGTGAAATAAATTACTAACTATCTTTCATTCATATCTCATCTCAACACAAAAATTCATACTCTGTTTTACTGCAAGTTTAATTCTTTGTATTGTTCTGGTTTATTGCTTTACATGTTACAAACCTTCCAAATTTGTATGGCTCAACTAGTTATTGCTCTGTGAAGTGGTAATTGAATTCCTAATTCCATGTGGAGACGATACTTGGATCTTAAAATTACTCATTACTTGCTGCAATTCCTAGTGCACTTGCTAGTGTTTAGAAATTGTACAACACTGTGAGTGAGAGTAAGGGTGAGAGTGGTTACTTCCTATATATATAAGCTTTAGGCGTGGTCACTTTCAAAATCATAGTAGACACGCGCATTGAGATTTTACCATATAATGCTACAAGTAGCCACTATGAGAATGAGAGTGGCAACTATAGAGAGTGCCAATTTTTCAAAAATGCAAGATGGGGTTGCACTAGCTACTATGAAAATGGAAGTGGCTATGTGCAACATGTTTGCTCAAAAAGGGCCTCTGCGTAGCCACTAAAGAATCGAAAGTGGCAACTACAGAGAGTACTTCCCTGGATATTTCTTCAGTATAGCTGCGCATGGCCACTATGAGAATGAAAGTGGCTATGCGCACACTTGTTAGCCCAAAATCCTTTGAAAGTGGTTACTATGAAACTGAAAGTGATAACTATAAAGAATAATACTACATACCTTAGCTGAAAGTGACTACTATGAAAATGAAAGTGGTCACCTCTTATGACGAAATTGGAACTTCTTCCCAAAATGCCTATCTTGCGTGGTAGAAATGATCATGTCCTTGTGCACTTGGACTTTTTTAAATTTATGCATGCATTCAGTCCAAGATTCCTAATTTCCTACTATAAAAATTAGGATTATGCAAAAAAATCATGTCAATTAGCAAGCATACTGCAAAATGAAGAGCTTTAGCAGCAGAACTATACATTAATTCATCATTCACTGTAACTCTAGTGCAAGATTGTTATTAAATGCAGAAAGAAATTAGAAATTCCTATGAACATGTGAGTTGCTTCTCACACAACGCTTCTTTAACGTCACTAGCTTAACGTATGAAGTGAATTACTCAGGCCAAGGATTGAGGTTGAGGTTTGTGCATGGTGAGTGCAGGTCAATCTCCTTAACTTCCTCCAAAGTGGTTACATTTTGTAAGAATGGCTTCAAACGGTGCCCATTCACCATAAAGCTTTTGCTAGTGGAGTCACTTTGGATTTCAACTACACCATGAGGAAATACTTTTGTGACTGTGAAGGTTCCAATCCACCTTGATTTGAGCTTTCCAGGCATGAGTTTGAGGCGAGAATTGAACAAGAAGACCTTTTGACCAATAGAAAAGTCCTTCCTTGATATCTTTTTGTCATGGTACCTCTTGGTCTTTTCTTTGTAAATTCTTGAGTTCTTATAGGCCTCAAGGCGTAACTCCTCTAGCTCTTGCAATTGCAACTTCCTCTGCTTCCCAGCTAAGTCATGGTGGATATTATAGGTCTTCACTGCCCAATATGCTTTGTGTTCCACCTTAACTGGCAAATGGCAAACTTTTCCATAGACCACCCTATATGGTGACATTCCCAAGGGTGTCTTGAATGCAATTCTGTGTGCCCACAGTGTGTCATTAAGCCTTCGGCTCCAATCTTTTCTATGAGGTTGCACTACTCTCTCAAGTATTTTCTTGATTTCTCTATTAGAGAGTTCAGCTTGTCCATTTGTCTATGGGTGATAAGCAGTGGAAACTTTATGCACAACTCCATATTTCTTCAACAAGGCTTCTATTGTCTTATTACAGAAATAACTTCCTTAATCACTAATGATGGCTCTAGGGATTTCAAACCTGCAAAGCAAGTTGCTACAGACAAAATCTGCAACAACTCTAGCATCATTAGTCCTAGTGGCCTTAGCTTCCACCAATTTGAGACATAATCAATAGTAAGAAGTATATAAAGAAAACCAAAAGATGAGGGGAAGGGTCCCATAAAGTCAATACCCAAGACATCAAAGATGTCATAATATACGATGGACTGTTGGGGCATCTTCTGTCTCTAAGTATTTACTCCTCTCGCTCTTTGGCATCTCTCACAAGTAGAATATGTTTGCCATGAGTCTTTGAAATTTGAGGGCCAATATAGTCCTGCATCTAACACTTTCCTTGTTGTCATTTGGGGTGCTTGATGACCTCCTACAGCTGAGGCATGACAGAACTGTAGTATGGATGAAATCTCTTCATCAGGTATGCACCTTCTGATGACTTGGTCATTGCAAAATTTCCATTGATAAAGGTCATCCCAAACGTAATGTTTGGCATCACTCTTAATCTTTTCCCTTTTAGCTCTTGGTGCATCTGCTGGGAAGGCCCCTATAACTAGAAAATTAACAATGTCAGCACAACAGGGTGCCTATGAAACATATAACTCTAAGAGTTGCTTATCAAGAAAATCATCTAAAAGTGGAATAGGGTCAGGAACACCCTCTATTCTGCTCAGGTGGTCAGCTACCAAATTATGATTTCCACTTCTATCCTTGATCTCTAAATCAAACTCTTGAAGTAAGAGCATCCATCTAATCAGCTTAGGCTTAGAATCTGTCTTTTTCAAAAAATACTGAGGCAAAATGATCAGTAAAAACCACAACTTTTGACCCTAAAAGGTATGACCTAAACTTATCCAATGCAAAGACTATGGCCAATAATTCTTTTTCAATAATGGTGTAATTACATTGTCCTGGATCCAAGGTTCTAGAAGCATAATAAATAATGTGAGGAAGCTTACCAACCCCCTCTGCTAGGGCAGCTCCTACTGCAAAATTGGATGCATCACACATCAATTCAATTGACTTAGTCCAATCTGGGGGTTGGATGATAAGCAGAGTGGTCAAGGTTTCCTTAAGAATATTAAATGCTTCTTTGTACTTTTAATCAAAGTTGAACTCAGTTTTTTTTTGTAGAAGTTTTGATAGAAGGATGGCAATCTTGGAGAAGTTCTGGATGAATCTCCTGTAAAATCCTACATGGCCAAGGAAAGCATGAACCTCTCAGGCACAAGAAGGGTAAGGCAATTATGCAATAACATCTAATTTTGCAGGATCTACCTTAATGCCTTTTTCAGATATGATATGACTTAACACTGCACCTTGTTCTTGTCACACTTCAAATAGAAGTTGAATTGACTAGTAAGTGTGCTAGTGTTGATGTAGCAAGTTATAAAAAATGATAGAACTGTGTTAGAGTCCCAAGTATCGATCTCAAGGAATAAAAGTATTCAATTACCACCTCACAAGGCCACAATTAGTTAAGCTTAACAAATTTCAAAGAGTGTTTGGAATTAAAATTGACAAATGTTAAAATCAAAAGAAAAATAGAACAATGAACAAGTAAATGTGAGAAAACAGAGGTAGAAACCATAGCTAGGGAGTTGCTTCACCAAAACTCCAATGTTCAATAAAGTTTTGAACTTACAAGTCATTGGAAAGAATGACAATCAGTTTCACGTTGTATTATTTAGAGGTTAATTCCTTAACTCAGTGAACCTAATATTCAATTAAATCACTTTAATTCCTTAGATCTGATTCAATTCAATGTTGCTTTAAGTGTGAGAAATCAGAGGATTGCAAGATCAAGTTCTCTTATCCCTAAGAAAGCTATAATCTTGGTGATTGGTTCAGATCTAAAGAACAAATTCAATTTCCATTGACAAGAGTTCCTCTGAAATTAGTTAATCAAATTTCCATTTAATTACTACGTAAAGTGCAGAATCAACCGCTCAATTCATTCCAAACCTTGAAATCCAGATCCAGAATCAATTTAACATGTTCGTTTTGGATATACAATCCCTAACTATGAAGAAATTACACAGCCATTAAAGCAGAGAAAGGAAAAGAAAGAGAAGAAGAGAAAGAACACAGAAGAGCCATCTTCAGTTGATCCCTAATCTGATTCCTCTAGGTTGGAGCTCGAAGTTCATCCCCAATCTCTCTCTTAGACTCTCTTCACACCCAAGAACTAAGTGGAAATGAAAAATGAACAAAAGATCCAAAAATCTAAGCGTTTCTACAATTTATAATTTTTTCACACTCTGGGCATTGTCACTTTGCTTCATAAGAGTGGTCACGCAGAGGCTCATGTAGTTTTTGAAAGACTGGAACATTCACTTTCATTGATAAGAGTAGCAATGCAGGAGGTTGGGAAATGCGTGTGATCACTTTCGAGAGCAAAAGTGACCACGCACAACTTGCCTTGATACACTCCTCTCTGGAACATCCACTTTCACTAGCAAAAGTAATCACGCAGAACCTTGCTGAGATTGAAGTCCTCTGGAACGCTCACTTTTGCCAGCAATAGTGATAACACCCAGTATGTTCTTTTGAAAGACTCTCTGGAACACTCACTTTCGCTGGTAAGAGTGACCACGCCCAGACTATATTCCTCATTTATGCTCTAGAACAATCACTTTCACTAACAATAGTGATCACGCCCAGCTTTCATTCCATTAATCTTGTTCTTTGAGTTCAGAATTGCCACTTTTCCTCTATCCTTCCATTGATCTTCCATCTTCATGCACTTGGCTCAGATTTTTCTACAAAAACATGATAAAATTCTTAAATTCTACACAGAAAATTCACAAATTCTAAAACAACTATGTATTTAAAGAAAATCTTCAATCATTATATTTTTATGAGTTTTTCTGCTTTTCCTAACATATTTTCCTTATTGAATAGGTTAAAACTATAGTAAAATACTAGTAAAAATATGGATTCATCAGTTCTACCATGAAATAGCATTTTTCAAAATTTAGGATAAGGTTAGTGTCAATGCATCTTTGGAACCACTTGGACTGGGCTGACCCAAGTGTTGTCTGAAATAGGGTAGATGATCCCAGCCTGCAGTAACTTGGTGACTTCCTTCTTCACCACGTCTAGAATGATGGAATTCACTCTCCTTTGAGGCTACCTCACTAGTTTAGCACCTTCCTCCAACAGTATTCTATGCATGCACAGAGAAGGGCTGATTCCAGGAATATCAGCGAGGTTCTAGCCTATGGCTTTCTTGTGTCTCTTTATCACTTTAAGAAGTCTCTCCTCTTGATTAACATTCAGCTTAGTGGCGATTATCACTAGGAGCTTTTCATCTGCCTCTAGATAAGCATACTTCAAATGTTCTGGCAAGAGTTTTAGCTCTAGTGTGGGAGGTTGCTTTATAGAGGGAAGTGATTTGGCACTTTCAGTGGAAGAAATTTTCGTAACATTCAAATCAAAGGGGTTAGATTCAATTGTACTTGCTGATCAGTAAATCACATTCTTCCCCTACAAATTTTTCAATCTCTTCAATATCATAAGTTGCAAAATTTATATTCAAAAAGTCAGAAATACAAGTGTCACACATAGAGGAATTATTATAATATTCACAAATAGAAGTGTCTATACATTTAGAAAAATTAAGAGAAAAATATTCTAGAAATTCAAAAAATTGTTCATCTATCATAGCATCAAACAAATCAATTTGGAAGACTGAATGCTCTTCAGATAGGTGCTTCATGGCATCCAAAATGTTGAAGTGCAAGATGCTGTCTCCAAACTCCATAGTGAGTGTCCCAGTGTCTTCAAGAACGATCTTCCTAGGATGATTGGTGCAGCACTCTTCATTGACTCTCCCTTTTACATATCAGGATGTACAAGTCAGCTGGAAAGATCAGATCATATACTCTGACTAGCACATCTTCAACAATCCCAGCTGAGTTTGTTATGCTCCTGTTGGCTAACTGGATAACTACACTTGTAGGCTGCAGAGGGCCAAGATATAGTAAAGTGAAAATGGACAATAACATGACATTTATGGATGCTTTTAAATCTAGCGTGGCATTCTCAATCCTATTATTACCAATGATGTATGGAATGGTGAATGTTCCTGGGTCATTACATTTCTTAGGCATTGTGGACCTTTGTTTCTAAAAAAGTGCAGAAATATTCCTACCTATGTTTACCTTTTCATTACCCTTAAGACGCCTCTTATGGGTACACAAATCTTTTAAAAACTTAGCGTATTTGGGTATTTGCTTGATTGCATCTAGTAGAGATATGTTCACCTCTACCTTCTTGAAGGTCTCTAAAATCTCTTTTTCAGCCTCTTCAATCTTCTTACTTGACTGTATGACGCTCTGAGGAAATGGTAGAGGAACTGCTCTTTCAACACCTTCTACCACCTTTGGTTGGGCAGGTGCAAGTTTTGATTGTTCTTGAGCTTTTTCCTCTCCATTTTGATCAACTGTAGCTAGAGTACAGCTTGAGTCTTCTTTCTCTTTGGGAATGATGGGCTCTTGCATCACTTTTCCATATTTCAGGGTAATTTCACTTACATTTGTAGGATTTATAACAATTTGTGCAAGGAAATTTCCTAAACCTTGAGATTACATTTGGTTCAGAGAGAAGGCTAACTGTCCCACTTGATTCTCCAAAGTCTTAATACTAGCCTTGGTTCTTTGCTGGAAAGTGATGTTCATGGTCAATTGCTTCATGAGCTCTTCCAATGATGGCTCATTTTTCTGGGATGCACTTGGTTGTGAGGAAGATGGTTGGTGATG